AATACTCTAGTTTTTAAAGTCAAACATGAGGTAGCCCAAACAGGATTGGGATTTGGTCAGCAAACTTGTCCAGATTCTAGAATTAGAAGGTCTTAGCATAGCGATCGAATCCTGGGATTCCAGAGTGAAGTAGCTTGATACCAAACTGTCTTTGATTTTTTTTGTCCAGCAGGAGCATTCTTGTTGAAGTATCAAAGCAAGAGCACAGAACAGTTTTCCCAACTAGGGAAGCTGACCGCAGTCCCACCAACTGTCCATCACACAAACAGAAATAATAGCACTTCTTGTTAGATGAACAGTTCTATTTTGGAGTGCTCCATTCATAAAAGGTGACTTCTAAGATACCATTCCACACTGATGCGATCCATTACATGTGTAAGTTTATGTACTAATACATATGTTTGGGTTTACTGCTCAGTGTATTACTTTCACAGATCTTGCAGTATTTTGTTTTGCTGATACAGAACTTGGTAGTGATATAATATCTGTTGCAGGCAGGGAGGGCTGAAAGACTAATTGATTCAGGAACAGAAGGTATATTTGGTTTGCATGGCCAGGTTTTGGTAGTGGGGGGGCTACAGGGATGGCTTCTGTGAGAAACTGCTGGAAGCTTCCCCCATACCTGACAGAGCCAATGCCAGCTGGCTCTAAGATGGACCCACCGCTGGCCAAGGCTGAGCCCATCAGCGACAGTGGTAGCACATCTGGGGTGACATATTTGAGAAGGGGTAAAAAAACCTGTGCAATTGAAACTGGAGAGAGTGAGAATATGTGAGAGAAACAAATCTGCAGACCCCAAGGTCAGTGCAGGAAGGGCAGGAGGTGCTGCAGGCACCGGAGCAGAGGTTCCCCTGCAGGCCGTGGTGCAGCCCATGGTGAGGCAGCTGTGCCCTGCGCCCCTGGGGGGTAATGGGGGGGCAGAGACCCACCTGCAGCCCGGGGAGGACCCCACGCTGGAGCAGGGGGATGCCCAAAGGAGGCTGTGACCTCACGGGAAGCCCACACTGGAGCAGGCTCCTGGCAGGACCTGTGGTCCCATGGAGAGAGGAGCCCACGCTGGAGCAGGTTTTCTGGCAGGACTTGTGACCCCGTGGGGGACCCGTGGAGGATCAGTCTCTTCCTGAAGGACTGCACCCCGTGGGAGGGACCCACACTGGAACAGTTTGTGAAGAGCTGCAGCCTGTGGTAAAGAATCCATGTTGGAGAAGTTCATGGAGGACTGTCCTCTGTGGGAGACACCCCACCCTGAAACATAGTAAGAGTGTGAGGAGTCCTGCCCCTGAGGAGGAAGAAGCAGCAGAGACAACAGGTGATAAACTGACCACAACCCCCATTCCCCATCCCACTGTGCTACTGTGGAGGAGAAGGTAGAGAAAATCAGGAGTAAAGTTGAGCCCGGTTTGAAGGGAGGGGTTGGGGGAAGATGTTTTTAAGATTTGTTTTATTTTTCATTACCTACTCTGATTTGATTGAAAATAAAATAAACTAATTTCCCAAAGTTGAGTCAGTTTTGCCCATGACAGTAATTGGCAAGTGATCTCTCCCTGCCCTTCTCTCAACTCACAAGCCTTTCCATCATTATATTTTCTCTCACCTGTCCAGCTGAGGACAGGCATGATAGAGCCACTTTGGTGAGCACCTGGCATCCAGTCAGTGTCAATCCACCTCAGAAGGTCTGGTGTGCTACCTTTCAATGTGATTTCCAGATTGCTGTAATTTACACTCGACAGGGACTGCAAATCTTGAGCTTTCATTTTAATTTCTTAAAGCCACTCTTAGTTGCAGAGAAGCATGTATCACTACTAACCTGGAAAGCAAAAGTCTACTGTTCACATGATCTTAAACCTGTTACCACTGCAGAGTCTCATTGCCAATCAAGAAGCTGGGAAACAGCTGAGCAAACAACAGTTGGTTCAAGTTACTTTGCACAGTTTTCATATAGAGTCTTGTAAAACATCCAAAACTGAATTTTCAAACTGTCAAGCACAAACCTGCTAGCTAGCTGCAACTGGTATGGGCTCACTGTAAATTTTGATAATATTTAGACTAAAAGTGACATGTTCTATCTTCCCATTAATAAAGAGACATCACACAGAACTACCAGTTAGGTAGGAACCTGACCACAGGTTTTGAGGACAGACTATTTAGATGAAGAAAAACAGAGGTTTGACAGTCCAGCAAGACGAGGGTGAAGATCCTGGGAAGCTGAGGATGACCCTGGAGATTGGCGATGCATAGAGATGAATGCTGGGGAATGCCCTGGGACTACAGTCTGTAATAGGCCTAAGACTGTGAACTGCAAGCAGCTGCAAAGCAGGTACTGACACGAGTCTCTGCCCCATTCTCCCAGACCAGCAGTGCTGGGAAGGAAAGTTGAGACCTCAGTAAACACACCATCAGGGTGGGGAGCAAGTGACAGACTCTGTAAGACAACCAAGCAGGGGTATAGTTCTATTCATCTTGATTCTTAAAGAAACAAACAAACAAAACCCAAAACCAAACCAGTATCCAGATCCACTACAAGCTATCTTACCGTTTCACCTGTGATACCATGACACACATTTGTTGATGATTCAACTACTTTGTATGCTGTCACTCATTAAGTGAATGTGAGACTTCCACTCCTTGCAGACAGCGGAGAGTCCTGGAAAACTGATGTGAAACACCTGTTCCTTTTGAGTTTGCTGTCCTATGCATGTGGCTACTTGAGTATCCCCTCAGTCCAGAAAAACACATTTATCTCTACCATAAACCAGGCAGAGAGAACTGAAAAAGCATTTAGGTACATACATTGATCTGGTTTTGGAAACACAGAAGGGAATTTTTCACTTTGTGACAACCTACTTGTCTAGAGCATATAGAGCAAGAGAAAACACTAACAAAGTCACATTTGAAGACAGAAAAAAAATTTTGGAATAAAGCAAGGAACAGGTGTAAGAGGCCCTGAGCACCAGGAAAGACATGCCATTCATTAAAAAACATAGCTGAAAGGTCAAGCTCTGAATCATTCATTAAAACCAGAAACCTGTCAGGTTGTAAGGAAGCTTTCATTTGATCTGGAGTTAACAAGATGTCTAACAGACTCAAAGGGTAAGGCTTGAGTGAATGTCAATCTTGAGGCTGGGATACTAGAAAAGCAACTACATCAGAGGCTTTGAAAGACTGGCAAACCATCCACCCCTAATAACCATTCACTAAGCTAAAGAAAAATCAACATTTCTGATACCCAGCAACTATCACCAGCAGAGAAGACTGTCTGGACTGAAGGATCCTGAACTGTTATTGGTCATGTAAATGTTACTGGACCATGCAAATGTAGCAACAAGGAGTGGTAGCAAATCTGTGCAAGATCTTGGAAACATATGTAAACCAATCCTCCTCTTCTACTGAGTATCTCAAAGACTGTCTGATGTAAGCTTTCATTTTCTGAAAAGCCAGCCACAGTCAACTTTTTTATTTGTTATTATTATTAGCAGCTTTCAGGTGGAGGGTGTTTCATTTTGGGTGTGTTTTGATTTAACACTAGAAGTGACCACTGCAGAGCCCTGTACCTCAACTGCACTTGAACTGACACCACAAAATTTGTGGACAGGACAGCATCCATTTCAGGGCAAAGAATGCTGACAGAGTTTTTCTCAGTTGCTTTTGATAAGAAAATTTAAGACTCCTAGTGACTCTCAATCCTATTTTACAAGGGGAAAAAAACAAACTCACACACAAAAAGTAAGACCCAATTCACATCAAATAAGGAACTATGTTAAATATAAAGATATTGCCCTACTGTATAAATTCACTGAAGAAATAACCTCTACTAAATCCTGCTCACACATAGCAAGGCAGCTCAAACAGTAAATCCTCACCAACCTTTGCAATGATTAACAGGATAAAAAAAAACTCTCAGAGCAGCATCAATTTTTTGATGCATATAAAAGGAAAAAAGCCAAAGGAAAGCACCTTTTAGTGCCTGTCAGATATACGGAAGACAGTCAAATGCTTATTTATATGAACCAGGAGAAAAAACAAAAGAAGAAAACATTCTAGGATATTTCAAGAATTTGTCAAGAATTACAATGAGTAACAATAAACACTGTAAAACTATTCTCTTTTAATTTGTATCTTAATTATTCTTTCCAAGGGAGACTACTTTAAGTGGAACTTTCACATTCCTTTCTATCTCGCTCAACACTGTTGATGCCTGACAAGCCAATAGTGACACTTCACACGAACTAAAATGACAATTTAAGGTTTTTTTGATGTATCTAAAGCAGGTTTCAGGTAGTTAACATACACAACTTTTTGCTCAACTGCCTCAGCTTAACACTAACCCATACATCTTTCCCTAATGAAGTTGATGGCATCCTTTTATAGCCTCAACATCTTGCTAGAGCAAGTAATGGGAGTCACAGTCCTTCAGAACACATCTCAAAAAGTTCCAATTCCTATGCTGTCCTTGCTATATAAGATAGGTTTTCAATTTAATGTTACCTTTAAAAAGCTGCTAAAAAATCTCTGCTTGATTTCACTAGGCATTTCATGTGCTTCTGTTGTTTAGGGGAAGTAAGCACAATGGATGATTAAGAATGTATGTTTTCTTAAGAAGCCTATTACAGAAAACAATTACTTATCTCTCCTGACTACACAGTAGAGTCTTCCACAAGTCCCTGTAAGAATGAAAATAAATTCTCTAAAATATTGCCACATTCATTTAAACTCTTTTTTTATCACATTGCAGTAAAATAAAGTAAAACAAAATTCTTCATTGTATCCACTATGGTAATAAACGAACTCATAATACTAAAAGGTAAAAGGTGATGACAATAATCAACACATCAGTGGGAGCACTGGAGCCAGAAAGCCAAGATTCTGGTTTAAACCTTTTATAACAAGAAATACTTCACAATACATACTGACAAATTGCATATAGCATTCCTACACAAATAGAAAGTAAAATTGAAAAGCAGTACCTTATTAACGAAATTGCCAAACAAAATATGCCTTACCTGAGTTATTCCACTGGGAGGGATCTTGTATGACTGCAGCTTCTGCTTCAATAGCTCAGGATCACTGTGGCGGAATGGGCACCCTGACAGTAAAAAACAAGCAAGCTCACAAACAAGGCTGTTTACCCAAGAGTTAGTGCAGTAAGGCACTCAAGAGAGCAGCTAAGCTGTTCCTAAGCGTCTAACAGCTTATTAATAAGAAAGTTAATTACCCATGTGTACAATTCCTTACTTTTAAAAATATTTTTTCTTTTTTTTGGGTAATATTTATTCCACTGCATGGTTATCAGAGCACCACAGGCTCAAGAGTTACATAAAATATCCCAGCATAAACAGGCCACAATTCTCATTTACTGACAGGAAAGTTTTAGTTAGTTCCTTATTTGATGTGAATTGGGTTTTACTTTTTGTGTGTGAGTTTGTTTTTTTCCCCTTGTAAAATAGGATTGAGAGTCACTAGGAGTCTTAAATTTTCTTATCAAAAGCAACT